CACCTCAGCTCTCCCCCCACACACCAGGACTCCCCCCGCAGGGTGTTCTACCCCAGCCCTGGACTGGCTGGAGGGGAGGTATGGGCTGGGGTCTCCTTTGCCCTCGGTCATCTTTGCCCTCGGTCATCTTTGCCCTCAGTCATCTTTGCCTTTTTCAAGACGTGGGACCTAAGTTGCCCAGGAGGAAAGGCTTTGGAATCCTCAGGTCGGGAAATAATTTTGAAAGAATTGGGCTGTCCCATTTTAATCAGGGAAGGGAACAAAAAACCATGTTCATGGCTGCCGAGGTCAGTCCGAGCCAGTGAACACCTCCAAGCAGGCAGAGTGTGAGGCTGGAGTGGGGTTTCTGTCGCTAACATCAGCTCTGCAAGGCACCTGTGGGCCTGTCGGGGCTCAGGCTAACGAGGGCTGCATCACCCGTTCCTAATTCTTCACAATCCATTTACATTTGGGCACGTCCTCAAACGAGAGCATTTGAATGTTCCGGGTGTTCAGAGTTGCGTTCATGGGAACCAGCTCTGGGTGTGGCTGGGAGGAAAGAGCCAGTGGGGTGACGTGAGGCCAGCGCTCCGCTCTGGCGGGAGGCTGGAAAGCACAGGTTTACAGGACGTTGCTAAGCTGCAGACGCAGGGGTTCAAGTCAGTGACACTGTGGTGTGAGCAGAGCGACGTGCCTGGTGCCCCTCCCGTGTGGCAGATGCATCATCTATTGCGAAAATTTGCATTATCGTGGGCTGATATGAGAGGCTGTTGTGCCATGACCTAGGGCTTCAGGAAAAGTCTCTGCCCCCGGTCCGTGTTACTCACGAGTTCTGGGGATAGGACAATAGCTGCGTCTCAAACACCCTGAGGCAAGAGCCCCCCCCCACTCTGGGGGAGAAGGGTCACGCACAGGAGCGTGCTGTGAACAGGGTGTAGCTGTGAGCTGGGATGATGATGTGAGCTTTGCCCAGTCTGGTGACCTGTGTACCCCAGAGAGAGCCGAGCCTCTCTTTGCAGAGACAGTTCCCCTTGTCTGCCTCGCTCACTGCGCTGGCCAGGAGGGCTTCGCTTGGTTTACGCCACGTGACACGTTTTCCGTCTCAGCATCTTGCGTGCTTAAGCAGCAGTTGGGAGTTAGCCCTGCTCGGCCCTCCAACGCTAACGAAAACGGGGAGGACCCCCATCCACCCACCAGGGCCCCGTGTGCAGGGATGGGGAGCCCCGACGCACTGCTGTCAGCCACCACCTGGGTTAGAAACGGCAAGGCCTGACTTGAGGCCTTCCCAGCTTCCAGGGGGGCGTGTCCTCATCCTGAGACCCCACAGCCAGGACTGCAACAGGCAGATATAAAGGCTGAATCCTCAGGGCCAGACAGGGCTCAGAGTTCCCACAGTTCCCCCCAGGGCCCCAGGTGCATGCACCAAGGAATCGCCCTGGTTGAGGACTCGGTGGCCCCCAAGTGCAAACCAAGCCAGCTGGGTCCACCCAGGGGCTCCTTGGATGGAGGATTCCAATCCCACTTCTCCCGGGGGCTGGTGGTTAAGGACTGGCTGCACCTCTTGGTGACTCCGGGTGACTCCGTTCCCTATCCCGGGGCCTATCCAGTCCTGGACTTGGCCTCTGTCTCCCCCAGGCAGTTCCCTTCCTCAGGCCCTGCTGCTGGCCCGTGATGGAACAGGGTCCTGGGTTACTTGGGGGGTCTGCCCACCTGAGCTGAAGCTCTGGCCGAGGCACTGATAAGGTTTTTCCCTAATCAGGGGCTGCAGCTTTCTAGACAAGTGGGCCACAGGCTCAGCCTGAGACCCTCTGGGTTTCTCTGGAATAAATGTGGGTGTCCCCCACCTGCCTGTACCCCACTCTACTGCCTGTCAAAATGGGGGCCCTTTGTGCTCAGAGCGGGGAGGTGACAGCCTCAGGAACAGCAGGCTCCTCGCACCCTGGGTCTGGCCCACTCTGACCCTCGGTCTCTTCTCCACACCCTCACCTCTGTCCAGCTCCATCTGGCTCCTCCTGAAGAACCCCACGTTCATCCTGCTGTGCCTGGCTGGGGCCACTGAGGCCACACTCATCACCGGCATGTCCACGTTTAGCCCCAAGTTCTTGGAGTCCCAGTTCAGCCTGAGTGCCTCGGAAGCTGCCACCTTGTTTGGTAAGAAAACTCTGGATCTTGGGGGTCCTCTGCTTTTGTGTCAGTTCTCAGAGAAGCGAAGAATCCTTG